ACATTATTGACAAGTCTTTTTCACATGAAACTTTTACAAAGGATTTTACATGCAAACAGAACCATCCATGACAAATTTTTGCAACTTTTTTGATTAATTTAAAATTTGGCCAAGAAATGTGATGGTACCCTTAGAGCTCGAGGCCAAAACTAAAACGATAAAAATTTAGACTTTATTGACAAGTCTTTTTTCACATGAAACTTTTACAAAGGATTTTACATGCAAACAGAAATATCCATGACAAATTTTGCAACTTTTTTGATGAATTTAAAATTTGGCCAAAAAATGTGATGGTACCCTAAGAGCTCGAGACCAAAACTAAAAAGATAAAAATTTATACATTATTGACAAGTCTTTTTCACATGAAACTTTTACAAAGGAGTTTACATGCAAACAGAAACATCCATGACAAATTTCGAAATTTTTTTGATGATTTGTGAAATTTTGCCAAAAACTATGATGGTACCCCTAGAGCTCCAGGCCAAAACTAAAAATATAACAATTTAGACATTATTGACAAGTCTTTTTCACATGAACTTTTACAAAGGATTTTACATGCAAACAGAAACATCCATGACAAATTTCGTAACTTTTTTGATGAATTTAAAATTTGGCCAAAAATAAAATTTAGACATTATTGACAAGTCTTTTTCACATAAAACTTTTACAAAGGATTTTACATGCAAACAGAACCATCCATGACAAATTTTTGCAACTTTTTTGATTAATTTAAAATTTGGCCAAAAAATGTGATGGTACCCTTAGAGCTCGAGACCAAAACTAAAAAGATAAAAATTTATACATTATTGACAAGTCTTTTTCACATGAAACTTTTACAAAGGAGTTTACATGCAAACAGAAAGATCCATGACAAATTTCGAAATTCTTTTGATGAATTTGAAATTTTGCCAAAAACTATGATGGTACCCCTAGAGCTCGAGGCCAAAACTAAAAATATAATAATTTAGACATTATTGAGAAGTCTTTTTCACATGAAACTTTTACAAATGATATTACATGCAAACAGAAACATCCATGACAAATTTCGCAACTTTTTTTAAAAATTTAAAATTTGGCCAAAAAATGTGATGGTACCC